GAGCCGATAGACGTTGTCACGGACCACAAGAACCTTGAGTACTTCTCTACCACAAAACTCCTCTCTCGCCGTCAGGCCCGCTGGTCGGAATTCCTCCATCAGTTCAATCTCGTCATCCGTTTCCGTCCCGGAAAACTCGGAGCTAAACCGGATTCCCTTACTAGACGCTGGGATGTCTACCCTAAAGAGGGGGATAAGGACTACGCTCGAGTTAACCCTCATAATTTCCGTCCGGTATTCACTTCGGAACAGTTAGCTTCGTCCCTACGAGCCTCAACCTTAGCAACTCCGGTTCTTAGGGCAGCCGTTCTGATAGATATCGACCAGCTCCGGAAAGACATCCTGACCGCACTTCCCAATGACCCTATCGCGTCCAATCATCTTCCGGAACCTTCGGATCCGAGATGGACGGTAGACGATAGTGGTTTCCTCCGCTGCGACAACCGTATATATGTTCCGGAATCCAATAACCTCCGACTTCGCGTCCTCCGAAATACTCATGATCACCCCTTGTCCGGACATTTCGGTCAAAATCGGACACTAGACCTCATCCGACGCGAGTATACTTGGCCAGGAATACGTACTTATGTTAAGGACTATGTCAAGTCCTGTACTACCTGTGGCCGAGCTAAGGTTCCGAGACATAAACCATATGGATTGCTAAAGCAGTTACCCATACCGGAAAAGCCTTGGAATTCCATCTCCATGGATTTCATAGAGCATCTTCCGGATTCATCCGGCTTTACAGCCATCCTCGTCGTAATAGACCGTCTATCAAAACAAGCCATATTCATCCCCACCCACGACACCATTACCTCTCCGGACCTCGCTCACCTGTTCGTCCTCCACGTGTTTTCCAAGCACGGAGTCCCATCTCATGTCACTTCGGACCGAGGGACAGAATTCGTATCGCATTTCTTCCGGTCCTTAGGAAAAGCGTTAGATATGGTCCTCCACTTCACGTCCGGGTATCATCCGGAAGGAGACGGACAAACCGAACGAGCCAACCAAACCCTAGAACAATATCTCCGGATATACTGCAACTATCAGCAGGATAACTGGTCGGAACTACTTCCTTTGGCAGAATTCGCTTATAACAACGCTCCGAGTGCCACTACCGGAGTATCACCCTTCTTTGCCAATAAGGGATATCATCCGAACCTGTCCGTTCATCCGGAACGTGATCTCTCCTCCGCCCGCGCACGAGACTATGCAGTAGACCTTGACGAACTACATCAGTTCCTCCGAGAAGAAATGGCCCACGCACAAGAAAGATATCAAGGTCCTGCGGACGCCAAATGGAAACCCGCTCCGGATCTGAAAATCGGAGATACGGTCTTCGTCAAAGCAAAATACTTCCGTTCCACCCGTCCGTCCAAGAAACTCTCGGAAAAGAACTTAGGTCCGTTCGAAATCATAGCTCGTCCGGGTACGCACTCCTTCACCATCCGACTTCCGGATTCCATGCGCTCCGTACATCCAGTTTTCCATGTCTCGCAATTAGAACCAGCATCCTTGAACACTATTCCTAATCGTATCCAACCACCCCCGCCTCCGATCGAAGTCGACGGAGAACCCGAATATGAGATATCCGAAATCCTAGACTCCAAGTTAGACCGTCGGAGAAGACAATGTCAGCTCCTATACCTCGTCCGATGGTCCGGATATGAAGGAACGGACGAGGAAACTTCATGGTTGCTTGCAACGGAGCTCGGAAACGCATCCGAACTAGTATCGGACTTCCACTCAGCATATCCAAACAAACCCGGTCCTATTCAACTTTGAAGTACATGATGTGTATACAGATATAAGTACATTTAAGGAAGAAACAGAAACGGACCAGAAAATCCTACATTTCCATAGACCCATCCGCCTCTCCGGATCCGCCATCTTCACTTCCGGACGCCTTATCCATCACTTCATCCTCCGGATCCGGATCCGAAGTCATCCGAAACCCCTTCCGGATGTGTCCGAATAGCATGGCTTGAAATTCCCTCTGCTGCTGAAGGAACAACTCAATTCCGGAACTCATCCGGTCCGCTGCAGCCCTACTGCCTTCCGCTGCCTGAATGCTCCTCTCCAAAAGTGTGTTCGTCCGAGCCAGTTCCGACACTATATTGTTGGCCGCGGCCACCCAAGCCTGGTCATCGTATTCTCCCTCCATCTCTTCCGGATCTTCCAGAGTCGGACTCTTCTGGCGTTTCTTACCTTTGCCCTTCGGAGATGGAGATCCGGCAGCGTGTTTTCTCTTCTTGCCCTTGGACACCTTGACAGTTCCGGGTCGTCCAGGACATGTAGCCTTGTCCTTCCGGCAGATATCGCAAGACTTGATCTATTTGGACGTCAAAAACCCGGATCCGAAATATCCGGACGACTCACCTGAGCGTTGCCCTCTGCATCCGTCCAAAGACAAATCCGTCCCCTGTTAGCACAACGCACGCAGGATCCGTCCCTTTCCGCAGACATAGCACGAGTCTTTCCATCCGTTAGAGAAATCCACCATATCCATCCGAAACTCACCATTTCCGCTACTATTTCCTTGCGTCTTTTCTCCTCCGCTGCTACAAGACTCTCAGCCTCCTTAATCTTCCGCAATTCCTCCTGGCGTTTCCGTTCCGCCTCCTGACGTTTCCGATTCTCTTCTTCTTCCATCCGAGCCGCAATTTCCGCGTCCGCTATTTGCTGTTGAAGCTCCAGAAGTTTCTGCTTAGCAGTTTTCTGAGATCCAGAGGTGTTGCCAGACATATCCGATAGAGCGTTATAGAGTGAAAAAGTGGGAAAGGAAGAATCAATCCTGGACGTCCGACCTTGTGTATATCTGTCCGATTCCGAACTCAGAAACTCCCCCCATCGACTTCTCCATCATCTCGCATTAATTTCGTCCGGTCCGGACCGATGCTTCTTGTGCCTCTAGGGATCGGCCCTAAGGGGGGGATACTGTCATATCCCATATATTCACGCTTCTCTTCCGGACTTCGGACCCTTAGATCCGGTCCGGTCCGATGCATAGATCCACGTCCGGTCCGATATCCGATAAGCTTCTTAATTCATTTCCTGTTCATATAACGTTAAACACAGCCTATTCGGTATTTCCTCTTCCCGGTGTCTCGGTTATACTTATTACCGGTATGATTACTGATCCGTTATCCTATGCTTCATTTCCGACTCGCGTTTGATAAGCTTTGCATATGCTTCGTACATAGCCTCGGACCTTTGCTTATTGATCCTTCCGTTATCCTCTTAGTATATAAACCCGTGTATATTTCCTGTAGTACCTCAGTTCGAATATCATCTTAGTTTGTCCTCTTTCTGTCCTCCGGACTTGAGTCTAATCAACTCTTGTCGATCTCTGAGACTTCGGATCGATTCCGATAGTCTACGTCTCCGCCTCTATCTTCGGATAGTCTATACTCTGTTTGTTTCTAGTCCGGATCCATCCGGATTAGTCTTATACGCTGTCTTGTTACTTGAGGGTCTTATATGTTTTCGTGTAAAATGCAGTGACACCACAACTACACTTTGATAAGACAAAAGCTGCCAACTCCTCAAGTACACGGTCAACGGATTTTCTACTTCTCGGTTGATAACGTGCTGTTCGTTGGAGGCAAGACTATACAGTCGGTCGTTTGGTTGAAGCGATGGACTGCTGAAATAAGATAGACAATGACTAGTATAGGTAAAATCCTATGAGAGTCACTGAAATATATTGAAGAAGGTAATGGACAGTGATATAAGAAACTATCCTAAATGAGTAGGCTGAACACAAAGATACTTCAAGCTGGAAGGATGTGAGAACCTATGACTAAGCTGGACCTCAGGCTGTGGCTGAAAGGTCTTGCAAACAAAAGATGGGAATGCTGACTAAGCTTTTCCCAGACAAATCCTTGCTGATGTAATCACAACAAGAATACAACAGATCTAGACCACCTAAGGACTAGATAACTAAATACAAGTGATTAGACTAGCTGGAGTCTAACAATAGTGAGTAAATACAAGACTAAGATTACCTAATCTTAGTGTAGACTAACTGAGGGAAATACTGGTCCCTTGCACTTCCTGTGACAGACAGGTGAAGTGGGAATTCTCCTCTGTGAGAGACAGATAAAGTGGAAAATCTCCTTCTATTCAGTGGAGAAGAGGCCCTCCTTTTATACATTTGGCGTGGGAAAGATACCTAGGTGCCAAATGAATATCTGGAATATCCTGCTCCACTTATTTGTAATCAAATATTACATGTATACTATTAAAATAAAAATAGAACTGACTCAGTCCGATCGATCTGATCACCAATATGCAAATAGTGGTGCTAGACGACAAATTGAGCAGAGAAAGAGAGTTCATGAGTCATCAGATTTGACTAAGCTTGATCTTGCCAATTTCTGAATAATCACATGTGAACTCATTATGTAAGTTTTTCCCTAGAAGAGAAAACTAACATGATGAACGTAAACAACTCATAAATATGAAACATGGATAAACAATTGCAATCATAGACCAATGAAAAAGATTATGTAAGAAACACAGTCTTCAGACATTCAGCAAACAAAATTAAACCAGATCCTAATACAAATTACTCAAGTCTTTCTGCTTCTTTTCTTCAACTTCCTATATATCGCCTCTAAGCAAGCCTCCCATGGACAAAGCTAATAGGCTTGATTGCTGTAGGCTTTTATATATATATATATATGAATATGTCCATGTATGATATCCATATCATGCATGACAACGCGTTTCCGATATCCGGAAGTCATCCGGATATAACTACGAGACTCGTCCGGACCTTCGGACGCGTTATCGTTAAGTCTTTGAAATAAGGGACAGTACTTGGGAAAGGGGCACAGCATACGAGCTGAGGCCGAAGTCCTTCAGATCCAATCCTACGAGAGTACGACCTTAACATCATCAAGGCACGATCTTCTGCGCAATGAAAACAGCTTTTTAAGGATGTCCAGACCCGTCCTCCGAGTACGAGCCTTGTCACCTCTCAGCTTTTGCTTGATATGCCTGTCCGCTGGTCATCAACCTATGTTATGCTCAACCGTGTGGAGAAGATGAAACCTGTATGTGCTATGAGCTTGACACTGACATGACATTAATGTTTCATCAGTTTGTCAACACTTTTGTATATGAACTTGGTGTTCGAGAGCCTAACCTTGCAAAGCGTGCAAAAATTGACCAGTTGAGGCTCAATAATGATGAGTGGAAATGAGTGGAGCTATTCACATCTCTTCTTGCAGTGTGTTATGTGCTGATATGTCTCTCTTGTCACTGACTGTTTGCTCAGCATGCTGATAATGTACAGCAGAGTTTCTCGTCTGATAAAGGCTCAACCCTTCAGCTTGCATTGCCAGCTCTCAAAGCCTTGCATAAGGCTTGGATGTCTCATTCTGAGAGTTCAAAGTATGAGCCCTTTCATACAGCCTTGAATGCAGCTGTTGAAAAGATCTGTGGGTACTATGAGCGAACTGCAGACAATGATGCATATATCATGGCTATGTGTATGTGCTTGTTAGAACACTATTGCCTTATATTCACTCTTGTTGTTAATAGTGCTTGACCCATCACAGAAGGACTCACATATTAAGCACTTCTGGGGTAAAGAAACACATATTGATGCTCTCCGTGAGGCTGAGAGAATGGTGAGTTTGTCTTCTTGTTGAGAATGAGATGTTTACATAGGTGCAGTTCAAGGAAAGACATATC